GTTGCTGATTGCCCTTTATTTATTTATATGTGGTGCTGAGAATCCAAACCAATGCCTCACACATGCTAGGCAGGTGCTCTACCACTGAGCTATAACCCTAGCCCTTGTTTTTCAATTTTTGAAAGAGAAATTATTTTTGTTTCTCACCCAATGAATTGTGCTCTCTTCTCCATGTATATTTCTCATTCAGCTAGTTATAGTTGGAATGGGTTGGAAGTGTACAAATATGGTCTTTAAAGCCTAACCTTTAAAAAGATAGGATTTACAGAGATTCAAGTTTCAGAGAACAGGATAGAGGCAAAGAGGGCAATATAATGTGAGTTTACCATTTTAAATTAGTGCATATTCAATTGAATAACTCAGTTTGAAGAACCTGCTCATTTCCCCCTTTTTCCTTTTGTATTCCATATTTAAAATCACCATCAATTTAGTGATGAAGTCTAGGAGTCATCCTTGACCCCTCCTTATTCATCCTACTCACACATAGTCAGTGGCGATAGATTCTACCTCTTTTATCATTTTTTTTATCTCCATGGCTGTTGCCTTAGTTTAGGCTTTCCTATTTGCTTAGTTGAGTGTAGCAGCATTCTTAACTATTATGGCCTGCTGCCAGGCTGGACCCCATCCAATCTGTGTTCTCCAAGCTTTCAGACTGATCCTTCTGAATGCAAATCACTTGCTGGTTAGCATTCTCATAGCAATGAGAGTCCAAGGCCCTTAGGATGACACTAGAGATACTCCACAATCTGGTTCCTGCCTGCCTTTCTAGCCTTATATTCTGCTACTCTTGACTTTAGCCTTCCATGTCATGTATGTATAGGCCCCATCATGCTGCTTATATTCCCATACTGTAGATATTCAGGTCCCTCTGCCTAGAATAGTGTTATGACATCCCATAATGAACAATATTCCAGTGAATTTATTGAGACCTCATGGTTGAGAAATTTGAAGATTCTAATAAAGCAGATCTTTACATAAATCTGTTCTTTGAATTATAAATGGTCTGACATCTAAACTGTACCTAAAATTGCCCACCTAACAAAGTGTATGGAAATAGTATTCTCTCCAAAGCAGATCCTGAATAAATGTTCATTAAGTATCTCAAAGAAATGCATCCTGTGGTATTTTTAAGTCTCTAAACTTTTCCAGGTGAAAAGAACAAAATGGTAAAATGAGAGTCAAAGATGCCAGTAGCACATTCCCAGTTGTGACAACTAAAAATGTTTCCTTATATTGCCAACTGTCTCTTAGGGGACAAAATCAACTCCACAGGGATTGTATATCATAAAAATATAGTGAAGATCATTGGAGAATAAGGAGATTGAGAAGGAGGAAGGATGGAAAAGTATGGGGGAATGTGAAAGGAATTTACGAAAATCACATTATGTGTATATATAAATATACCACAGGGAATTTCACCTTTATGTGTGTCTGGAAAGTATCAATCAAGGTTGGATAAAGAAAATGCAAAGAGTATCAGTGTAGTGGAGAATGGGTCAAGGGAGGAAAGGGGGAGGAGGAAGGAAATGGGACTGAAATGAAGTGAGTCAGATTCCATGCATGTACATTTTTGTGGGGATGAATCTAGCTACTATGTGAAATTATAATGCTCTAATAAAAATAAATCATTTCTTAGGCCTAGAAATGTGCTCTGGTAAGAGGAAAAATTTCTAATTAATTATGCTATAATGATGTTTGGTCAATAAAGGAAGAAGAAAGGAAAGCKCCTTATAAAATAGCATCTAACAGTCTCTTTTTTAAAAGAGAATTTATTCATTTCCATTCAATGTGAAAAACTGCAGAACTTGTTTTTCTTTCCTAATCTATTATAGAAGAGAAAGATGAATTTTTAATTATTTGGAAATCTAACTGACTCTAAGCAAGAGAAATCATAAATACTGTTTTGATTGGCCCGTGACATCAAAATATCCAAATGGTTATAGCCCTCCAAATATCTGTTAAAATATGATTTATATAGCCTCAAAATAGGTTTATTGCTGAAGAAGAAATGATAAGAATCAACAAGGAATACATGCTACAAGACAAATTAAATCAAGCTTTCCAAGCTAAAATAAAATTTCACTGGGTCTAAATCAATCTTATCCTATATTTAAGCCATCGGTCCTAGTCTTTTTAAAGACCCCTGAACCTGCTGCTCCCTTACCAAAAATATTTATTTTTCAATCACTCCCCCTTATTGGTTTACATCACAAAGAATAGTTTCCTGGTTCAGAAGAGGCATGAACATGAAGAGGCACAAGAATTTTTACAAGCACCTTCTCTCTAGCAAATTCTATCATCATCAGGTGTTGGATTTATGTGGACTTAAAGTTGAAATCCTATTTTTGATCATTTTTGACATTTTCATAAGTATCTAATTTTCATAAGTATCTTATTTTCATAAGTATTCAAAAGGAAAACCTTCTTTATATAAACCTGAAATGGGCCCAACACTACGATCATTTTCATTTTTCCCCTTCATTTTCAAAACACAGTAGGCTTGCAGTAATTTGATGTTTGTATTTACCAATGTGTACTTTTCCATTCTAGTCTCTAGTTTACCCCAGACAGAAAGTTTGCCACAGTGCAGAGAAACAAAAAAATCTTCCTAATGATTGCAGAGTTGGAGAAAAGACTTAGCTGTGCAAAGCATTGCATCAGGAAAGCAGAAAGGGGTGTTCTATAGATGACAGAGGTGGTGGATATAATGGACATTCAATAATGTGCAGTGTGGACAGGGAAGGGTGAAAAATGGTTGTGGAATGAACAGGATGAGGAAACTGGTGCTTGATGAGAGAAGTGGATGAGGTTGTAGCTTTAAAGGCAGAAAATAACTGACTTGACCTCCAATGCTGAGGTTACCAAAGGCCTCCAGAATCTTCTCCAGGGTCTTCTTCAAGGTTCTGCATGACGAAGACCGGCCAAAAAAAGCAGAAAACGGCCTACAAGTAGGGGACAAGTGTGCCTCCGTGAACTTTTAGCGACTTGGATCTTCGGGTGCAGTCATCTGTCCGTGGTGTGCCCCTCAGCGGTAAGGTGAGACAAGGAACGCCTACATAACTCACTGAGCGTGTTCTAAGCCACTGTTTTAATAAGAGCGGATCCAGGGAAAACAGGCGAATCCTTCAGGCAGAATCACTCCAGCTTCGTCTGGAAAGGCCAGACGAAGGGCTCGTTTCGGTCCTTCCTTGAAAGAGAAGCAGAAAAGCCCTGGAATGTGGGGGAAAAGGAGTGGAGAATAGATGCTTTCCTCTTCGGAGTTGAGGCGGGAACCTCAGGAAGCAGGAGGAAATTTTCTTTTGGAGGGTGCTGAGAGGGTCCGGGTCGGTGCGCGGCTAGCAGCTCAGCAGCGAACTGCAGGTGCCTAAGGAGCCAGGGCGTCATAGCAACCGCCCTCGCTGCTGGGACGCAAAGGCGTCATTCCGGCAGGAACTGTAGGTACGACGCACGCCATTGGTGCCACTGACTGTTCTTCCTGTGAGGACTTTTGTTACGGCGCACTCCATTGGCCTCTGGGTCTTGGGGCGGAGTTCTTCCAGCCACGCGTGAATACTACTGGCTCCTGAGACAACCTTAACCATAATTTATATAACTGCAGGCGCTTGCAATTTAATAGCATTTCTAGTTCTCAAATAGCTACCCTTGTCCCAGCCTTATCAAAGTCCCGGGCTCCTTACGTTAGACTTCCTGATCTAGAACTTATTTATTCTTTTTAGATATATTTTTAAAAATTGTAGATGAGCACAATACCTTTTTTTATGCGGTGCTGAGGCTCGAACCCGGTGCCTCCCACATACTAGGCAAGTGCTCTACCATTGAGCCACATCCCCAGCCCCTTATCTCATTTTTATAAGGGTAGGATGCTAGGTCAGGAGTTCTGAATTTTAGGCCTAGATCTGTCACTAACCACGTGGGGAGCCTCATATTAAACACAACACAACATGGAGAAACCGGGCTTGACCAGAATTATCCTTAAAAGTTGAAACCCTCTAAGAAGTCCTAAGCATGGCAAATTCTGTTTAGGCAAGTTGTATCAATCTCTCCCTTTGGCAACAGAACCCTTGAGAATGTTTTCTCGGATTTAAAATGTTATCACCACCACACAGCCCACTTAACACCTATTTGTCAGTTTCAGTATCACCTCCTCAGGCAAACTTTCTTTGATACTCTAATCTAAATCAAGTTCTTTCTAGTTTTGTTGACTCATGTTCATTTTTCTTTAAACCCAAACACACACACCCTCACTCCCCCTGCCTCAGAATTTTCACTTGTGTAAATACTGTTTTTAAGTGCTCTGAATACATTAATCAACCTAAGTGGAGAACTCTTTAATTCCACATAGAATGGTGCTTGTTTTTGAGCACTAACATGAGGTGATTCTCACAGGAATAATTATGACCAAAAAAAAAAAAAAAAAGGATCACTTCTAGTTTTAGCCCCACTTATCCCACACTTTTTATCAACTGTAATGCATCCCTTAGGTTAGTCACCAGTTGGTCCCTGCCTAGTTCTAGGTGGAAGGCTGTATTAAATGTACCTCAAGAATGGTCCTAAAATATTTGAAAGGTAAATTTTTATTCAAATATGAAGTAAATCTAGGAAAAGAAAAAAAGATTGAGGGAGGTATCTTTTGCTTCTACGCACATCTTTGTTAAGTTTCCAAAAAATAACACCCTTCCCATGTGTTGGTTTGTGGGCACACATTTTATTGCACTTAATTTTTTTTATATGTCCATTTCCCCAGCAAAACATATTTATTCATCTTTTTAATCCTCATAGCTCAGCACAGGGCCTGGCACAGAGTAGGCACTCAAATACTTGATCTTGAAAACATGACCACTTATGTATGCATCCATAATCCCCCTTCTACAGTATGAAGTAGATAGATATTCAGCGTTCAGCTACTTTTCATGTACATTTTGCAGAATATATAATTCCCAAATTATATTAGTGATTTCACACTTTAAAAGAGATCATCAGGATCTCTTTTTTAAAAGCTGTTTATTTCTTGGCTTTTTAAAAAGTCAAGGCAAAGCTCTAGTGTTCAATTTCCAAGTCAAGATAACATTTCAGGTGAGTGTGTCAGGTGGTTCAGTCATTAAGAGGCAAAAGCCAGCCCATATTGTCTGCATACCACAATTTTTACCTTCCTTTTTTTTCTTTGTTCTTATAAAAGCAAATAATTTATTCTAGTTCTTGCCATTTATAAGAGCCCTGGTCCACTGAACAATTTTTGATCCTATAAAACTTTTTTAGTTCAGTTTTTGTCATATATAAAAGCTGTGTGTCGAGACTGAAGATTCTCCACTATCTTCTTTTCTATCTCTACACCTTTTTCTACATCTTCCTCTGATAGCAATAACTTGGTTTCTGAGTCTTTGGTGACAATAACAACAAAGGAATGTATTGACTCAAGGATATTAGCTATCACCAGTTGATGTTGATAAACTTCCAAAGCATTCCGAGCACGATTAATTACGATGGAGGGGTCGGTCTCCAACTTAAAGGAAATTATAAAGGCTTTGGGAGCCCAATCTTTAACCAAAGGATAAAGCATTTTTGGCACCATCTTCATTGTTATCTGTATTGGAAAAAGAAAAGCTTAATAAGCAAACAATGATCACTACCTATCAGGAAACTAAGGAATCAGGGACTCAGATTTTTGCGTATATAAATTTTAGTGAGATTTTCCCATTGTGTAGACTTTTCAAAGCAAATTAAATGGTTACCTTAAAAGCCTTAACTCTGAGGTGTTCATACTAATACCTAAATTTAAGGCTTTATACATATTCTGGGGCAAACCATGTTTTGTTTTKTTTTTWAATCAGCCCTACTCTGCTACCCTCATTACATTTTCTGGAACGTTCTCCTTTATTTCTTCAAGTAAACCCTCAAATAAGCAAATATAACTAATTGGTTCATGCAAATGTTATGCTGGCAGAAGTCCAAAAATATTGGATTTTTAAACCTCTCAGTTTAAAATATTTCTACATTGGTAGAATGGCTCTAGATTCCATTTACTTGTAACTGGAACTGTAAAAGGAAAAATTACACAACAGCACTGAGGAAACAACTGATTTTCACTTGATTAAAACTCATACCATCTGTTTCCAACATCTTCAAAGAGGAATGTTGAGTTGTTTTGTATACTTTTAAGACAGAACTAAAAAATGTGGATAAAGATCCCAGAGTTTTGAAAGGGTGAATCACTAAACTAATCACCAGGATCTCTTTTTAAAAAGCTGTTAGCAAGTGTGATAAGAATCATATATTGCTAGTTCCCCACTGTTTCTCCTTAGCATTTATCCCTACCAAGAGTAGCATGCATTTGACTCCCCTGCAGTGTATATAAGCAATTCAAGTGCTAGGTATTTCTTTTCACTGCTTTTATCTCCAGTTCCTTCAATTAACACCTGGTACAGTAGGTACTCAATAAATATTTGTTGAAGAAATGAAAAAATAAACTATCATACAAGGGCCCCATTGATAGAGTTTCTCCTATATAGATTCTACCTGAATCACTAGGAACTTCCCCTCAGGTTCCAAGACACCAGATTATCTTAATAACTCAACCATACAACTGTCCTCTTCATACCTCTTCATTAAATTACAACAACCCCCAACTGAACTATCCCATTCTCTCTATTCCCTACTTCACCTTTCAAAATGATGCCAGAATGTTCTTTTCACAAAAACTATCTTATTCTCCTACTTATGTGCTACTTGTCTCCACAGGATAAAATCCAAGSTCCTTAAGGAGTAAAAACCAGGCATGGTGGCCCACTCCTGTAATCCCAGCTACTTGGAAGGATGAGGCAGAAGATTCCAAGTTTGAGGTCAGCTTGGGCAACATAGCAAGATCTTATCTCCAAAAACAAAACAAAATATTCTGTGAAGTAAGCTGCCTCTTCAGTCCACTTTCCAGCATTACTAAAAGCACTTTGATTCACAGCAGCTACTGCTAAACATAGCAGTGTTTCCAAACTCCAACTGTATAACTCCACTTGAAATGATCTTCCCCACTGTTATACCCTCTGCTCATCTTTTAAAACCCAGTTCAAGTCATCTCCTCCAAGAAGCCTTCCTCAACTCCCCCAATTCACTTCCCCCAAATCTGACTGCACTTTGTACATACCTCCACTAGAGCATTTATCATTCTGTTTTGTAATTATGTCTGTGTCCAGGTCCCTGGCTAGATTGTGAGGTCCTTGAGGGAGGGCGGTGTCTTATTCATCTCTGTATCCCCAGTGCCTAGTGCATACAGAAGGCAGATAGGCCATCTCCAGATCAAGAGGAAAATTAACCCATGATTGGTTACAGGGGATCAGATCTCTGGAAGAGAAGCGCCCATCACCTGCAGTGGGCCCCCAGATGACTGGATCTTGTGTTCAGGCATTTCAGAGACAGGAACATAGAAATCTGACACGGCCGCAGCCAGGTAAAACATCGCAGAAGGCCCTGCAAAGAGAAGTAGAAGGTGTAACAAATAGGGGAGAGGTGTGGGATCAGTTCCTTTACAACCTGAGTTCCCAGACTGTAAGACCAGAGGTATGGGGGGAAAGTGGCTGGGGATAAAGGCCTTGCTTCCTGGCAATCGCTGGGTCCCTAGGGCACGCACCTAGTGGACTGAGCGCTTGGGCAGCAGCCTTCAGCAGATGCAAATAGTCTGCCAAAGTGGAGAACTCTACAGCCAGGAAGGTGCCGGCAGCCGCTGCTTCTTGGTAGCTCCGCAAAGCCGCAGAGAAGCCCGGGAGTGCATTCTCCTCGGCCTCCAGGCTCAGCACGCCCGACTTAGCTGGGCCAGAAGGCCGCAGGGCCGACAGCCAGGTCTGAGGCGGGAAGCGGTGGGCAAAGGGGAAACAGGAACGAGCGCGGTACAAGAACAGGACCCCGTAGCCTGCAGCCAGGAAGGCCTCGGCCGAAATTGCACCGCGCCGTCCGCTGCTGAAGTTGTCCAGAAAGCGCACTGGCCGCGCTTCCAGAGGGACCTTGGTGCCGCCTGACGTGACCAACACCACCCGCCGGCCCTGTGAGCCTAGCTGGGCCGCGAAGCGAGCCATAACCTCCGCAGAGCGAGCAGCACCCGAAGGCTGGGGGAACTCGGAGACGAGGTCCATTTCCTCCATCAGTGCCTGAGTTCTCCCTGCGCCTGCGCACGCCCCGGCGCCGCCGGCACCACGCCCTCCTCGCACCCAGTCCACGCCCAGCCGCAATAGTGAGCGGGTTGGTCATTCCCCAACGTTTTCCCCTAGGTCCCCATCTCGCCAGGTGTGGAAATGCGCGGTTATTGTGCCCCAGAGCCCAGAGCCCAGAGCCCAGAGAAAATGATACTGCGTCGAGGGAATTCTCACTTTCGGATAGTGAACATCTGGAAAGGTCGCATTCCCTCTTGTTAGTTTCCTGACCTGGGTAAGAACGGGCCGTGTTTGACTCTTACCGGCCACCGTACAGAGCTTCCTGGGCTTGGATCCACCAGAGTGCATTCTCTTTGTCATTTAACCTTTGTGACCCTCCCCTCCCCCTGTTTTAAAGCTCAAAATGTCAGTCGAGCCACGCCCCTCCCTTTGCCCTTGAAACTCTGGTAACTAGGCTGTCGCGGTCGTCACGAGACGCCGGTGCCCAGCGTTTCCTCGCTGGGCAACCGTTCTAGAGACCGACAGCCGCTGGCTGCAACATGAACGTGATCTACCCACTGGCGGTGCCCAAGGGGCGCCGGCTCTGCTGCGAGGTGTGCGAAGCCCCAGCCGAGCGAGTGTGCCCTGCCTGCACAGTCACTTATTACTGGTAGGCCCTGGAACGTGGCACCTGGCGCCTGACTCCCTCCCTCTCTCCGGATCAGGGCCTGGGCCTGTGTACCTGTGTGAGCCGCCACCCTTCAAGGCGGCTTCAAGACAGGTCTCTAGGACCCCTGTGGCCTTGTCTGCCTCCTCTCCCACTTACTGGTTGTGGGGTGTGTTTTGAGCACCTGCTGTGTGTTCTGCACTAGTCTAGGTGCTGAGGTTCCAGGGGCCTTTGGGTAGCTCAGTTCCCTCAAGGAGCTAACGTTATGATGCGGGAGACAGACAAGTAAACAAAGTAATTTCAGAGAGAGAGAGAGAAATTTCTCATGACAAGTAAAGGAAGTGTGATGAGAAACTGGGCAGACAACTTCTCTGAAAGTATACTTAATGTGAAGATAAATAAGAGTATCCCATCCTGGAAATGGCTGGGGGAAGGCCTGGTGTGTTTGAGGAATAAAAGAAGGCTGGTTGGTCTCAGGCACAGCTAAGATAGTAGGGAGGGTAAGTGCAAAATGAGGCCCGTTTCCATTTATTCAACATAACATTCTCTTTGCTTCATATTAGACCCTATTTTTGACCTGATGTTACATCCAGAGATCTAGTTCAGAGTTTAATGCATTTTACATGACAAATGCTGTCACTTAGGATGTGCTAAGCCCTGGGACCTCTAAGGATGGAAGCTGGGACCGCACACCTTTCTCCAAGGAAGTAGTATTTGAGCTGAGTTTTGAAGGAATGGTGAAAAAGGGTAGGACATTCCTGGCATCCAGGACTGCTTGGGCAAAGGGTAAAAGTACAGAGTTTGCTGAGAACTAGATAGGGAAGATAGTAGTGGAGGGACTGGTCAATGATTTTCACACTGTAGGCCAGGACTCAGCACATCATGGATAAATCAAACATCATTTAAATAAGAAAAATAGCATAGAATAGAAAGTATCAAAACAATCCTACCTAAAATTTAGTGTTTTATGAGGATATGCATTTTTGTACTTGTATTTCTTACTATGAATTGAGTAAAAAAAAGTTTTGATATCATTGTGATAGGTACTAGGAGAAGTTTAAACAAAGAAAACAAAAGCAAACAATGACATGAGATCAAAAAGATTAGAATTTACCTTCTGGCAAGCCGTGGATGGTATTGAGCTGACAGGCTCTCATTTATGTTAAGGAAAATGACAGGCAGCAGTATGGAAGATAGATTGGAAAATAGACACTGAAGATTGCATAACAGATTTGGAGGCTGTTGCCATGGTCCAAGTGGAGAGTGATCCTACCTTTCTCAGACTGGTCCAGGTGTCCCACCTCAGTGCTCTCAAAGAACTCACTAGTCCCCTATCTCAACACTTAGGACACAGGGTGAAATCAGTTGTGTAATTGTCTGTATCCCTCACTAGTCTGTATGACCCATGACAGCAGGAATGGCATCAGTTTTTTAGTTCCCTTCTTTGATGACATCATTGCATTTAGAATGCGATTCACAATTTGTAACAAGAACTACAAAGCTCTGACCATCTCTCTATCTGCATTTTCCACCACACTCACCCCAAATTTTCCTTGCTATAGATACAGATAACTGAAGTTCTAAATTGTTCTCTCAGTTTCTTGCCCAGAATGCTCACTGTGCTGAGAACCTCCACTTCTATCACACATCTTCTGGACTCCCTTTCTTCCTTCAGAGTTTACTTAAATGTCTTTTTTTTCCCCCCCAGATAGGTTCAAATCAAATGCAAACACTCTTCTGGCATTTTTCTTGTTAGTAAGTCTATTTTTCTTCTTCTTTTTTGATTTTTTTTCATTTACTTATCCTACAAGGTCTTTGTCTTTACTAGACCAGTGCCCACACATAACAGGTATGCAATGGACATTTGTTGAATAAACAAACTTCTTTTTTGGGGGGGGTGCTACTGGGGATTGAACTCAGGGGCACTCAACCACAGAGCCATATCCCCAATCCTATTTTGTATTTGATTTAGAGACAGTGTCTCACTGAGTTGCTTAGTGCCTCACTGTTGCTGAGGCTGGCTTTGAACTCCCAATCCTCCTGCCTCAGCCTCCCACCCATGAGATTACAGGTGTGTGCCACCACGCCCAGTGTAAACAAACTCCTGAATGGATAATAAATCCATCTGAGGCCAAGAAAATGGGAGGAGATGGTGAGTAACAGATTTGGTTGCAGATAAAATGAGGGGCCTTCATGTCACTAGGCTACAAGTATAGGCATGACACTCAGGAATGATTCTACTTCTTTGTCTGGTGTGTGTACCCATTTCTTCCTTAAAACCCCCTTCTTGGGGCTGGGCTGTAGTTCAGTGGCAGAGCACTTGCCTAGCATGTGTGAGGCACTGGGTTCAATCCACATAAAAATAAATAAATAAAATAAAGGCATTTTGTCCATTACAACTACAAAAATTTTTTTAAAGCCCTTGTCCTCTTTATCCATGCAAACAGAAGTAATCCCCCCTTTCTCTCAGCTTACTTTGCTGTCCACTCTTAGATGACTTTTGTTTCCATTCTTCATTTTTAATTGTTGGCAAGCATATTGTCTTAAATTTTATGCTTCATTAATGCAAGATGTAATTTTGAGTGCATATAGAAGGACTGCTATGTGTGTGCTATCTTTTGATTTGTATCACACCCTGTGTATGCTCATGGTGTCCAGCAGTCTTGAAATAGCTGGCACTAATATTTGATGATGACATGAATAAATCATCATTTCCATGCCCTCACCCTCTATTTTTTTATTGCTGCTGCATCTTTGTGCATGTGTGCACATGGTGCTGGAGATGGATCCCAGGGCCTCTTGGGTGCTAGGCAAGTGCTCACTCCTTTCACTTGTTTTAATTCTCTTTAAGTTTTTTTCTTCTTTTTTTACCCATCTGTTTTCTTCAGATTTCTATGCCCTTGTGTTCTGGATATATCAATATTTTTTTCTTATATAAAACAAAATGTGAGATAATTTTTCTACAGGTTTTGATGATTCAATGTAAAGTATCTAGAACTGTGCCTGGGACCAAGTTGGCACACAATGTGTATTCTTTTTTAAGCATCCCAAATTTAAGGAGCCAAAAGGACAGTCAATTTGAATTCTTGCAAGTTTTTTCCTATAAAAGAATTTTATCCTAATTGTAAATGCAATTCATACTCACTGCAGAGAACTTGAAAATACAAAAATAAAGAAGAAAAATAATCCATAATTCTACCACCCAAAGATTAGTAACCTGACATTTTGGTGAATTTTATTCTTTTTCTTCTAAACATATTTATTTTATGTATTATGCATAATCTTATGCATATTGTAGCTCATTGTATTGTGAATATGTTCCCAGGGAAGAGAACATTTTCAAGAAAATATAATTTTATGAAAGTACCCACTGAAGCGTTTGTGATAGTTAGAAGAGGCGTCAGTGCTGTGGTTTAGCAAATCATAGTATATTGATTACAATGATAGGAAATAATTTTTCCTTTAATTTAAAATAAGATGGCACAAATTTAAATGCCTTTACTGGCCAAGAAGAGAAAACAGTGAAATGGTATTCAATAACAGAAAGTAATAGGATCTGTAGTGAATTGTGGAATGAATGTCCTGCCTAAAGACATTCAAATATGGTTCTAAAAATGTGATAATGCACAAACTAAATATGTCTAGATCACGAACTACTTAATTGTGAGCCCTGAATGAAACATTTTCCAACTTCTTTTTGTATGCCCTATGTTGACTTGCAGGGGTAAGACAAATGAATTAAGAGAAAACTCAAATATATATTTACAAAGGCAAGATATGTCAGTTGATTTTACTAGAACAAAAGTTCATGCAGTTAAATAAGTTACCATTTCCATTGCTCACACGATTACTCAACAAGTCCTATTAAATAAAAACCCTGTGGAATTTAGCTATTTCTATATCCTGGTTATTAAGTGCTTTTATTGATCTGTTTACAATAATTCTCTGTCCTCTAGAAAACTTTTAAAGTGGCTTCTGACATTTCTATGGTATCAGTCAGAGTTAATAAAGAAAACACTCAATTGTATTTCTGTTGTCCCAGGAGAAAGGAAAGTGAGAGGGTGCTTGCAGTCACGTATTTTCTATGGCTGCTTTTGTGCTACAACAGCAGGGTTTAGTAATTGGAGCTAAGTCTAAAATAGTTACTGTTTGGCACTTCACAGAAAAACTTTGGTGACCTCTTCCCTAGATTATTGGTACCTGTTTTGAAGTCTATAATGAACTCAAACTGTTAACTATCTCACACTTAAGTGAAAATATGTAATAGGCAGTAGAAATCAAAAACTCATGATTATAGGCATTTAACAACAGAGCCTCAAAGTACATGAAGTCCAGACTCACAACTGAAGGGAGAAATAGACAATTTAATAATAATAGTTGGAGATGTCAATTTCCCACTTTCAGTAATGAATAGAACAACTAGAGATACATCAGCAAGGAAATAGAAAACTTGAACAAAAACTATAAACCAACTAGACCTAACAGACCTCTGTAGAGCACCCTAAATAATAACAGGATACACATTATTATTAAGTGCATATAGAACATTCTTCAGGATAGACTATATGTTAAGTCATAAAATAAATATCAATAAGTGTGTGAGGACTGAAGTTATACATAATTACAATGGAATAAAATTAGTCATCAGTAATATAAAATTTGGTAAATTCACAAATATGTGGAAATAAAATACTAAAAAAAGTATGTCAAAGAAATCACTAGGGAAATTAGAAAATGCTCTGAGATGAGTGAAGACAAAAACAGCATATTAAACATAAGAGGTGCAGGCAAAACAGCAGTTAGTGGTTCCTAAAGATCTATAACAAGTAAAGAGATTTAGCCATAATTTTAAAAATTCCCACACGTAAAAAGCTAAAGAACAGATCACTTCATTAGTGAATCCTTCAAATGTTTAAAGAATTAACACTGACTTTCGCAAATTCTTCAAGAATATGGAGGAGGAAATAATTCCTAATTCATTCTATAAGACCAGTATTATCCTAATAACAAAACCAAATAAAGATGTCACAAGAAAACTACAGACCAGTACCCTTTATGAATATACATATAAAAACCCACCACAAAGTTTTAGCAAACCATATCCAGCACTATATAAGAAGGTTTATACATCATGACCAAGTGGGATTTATTCTAGGAATTCAAGACTGATTCACCATATAAATACCAATCAGTGTAATACACTATATTAATAGGTAAAAGACTAAAATCATCTGATTATCTCAATAGATGCAGAAAAAGCATTTGACAAAATCCAACACCCTTATGATAAAAACATTTAAACTGGAAGTAAAAGGGAACTTCTATTTACTTGGTAAGGAGAAACTGAAAAAACCATCGAGAAAAACAGAGCTAAGGTTATACTTAATGGTCAGAGACTGAAAGCTTTTCCCCCWAAGAACAAAAAAGAGACAAGGATGTTGCTGTCACGACTCTAGTCGACTTTGTACTAGAGGTTCTGGTAGGGGCAATTAGAATACAGTGAAATTAAAGATACCTAGCTTAGAAAGGAAAGAGAGAAACTAGTTTGCAGATGACATGACCTGCTTATGATGGTTAGTTTTATGCATCAACCTGACTGAGGCAAGAGGATGCACAAATAGTTAGTAAAACAATATTTCTAGATGTGTCTGTGAAAGACTAGCATTTGAATTAATAGACTAAATAAAGGTCACCCTCACCAATGTGTGTGGAGATCATCCAGTCTACTGAGAACTTTAAAAAGCATCCTCTTTTCTTTACTCCATCTGCTACCCAAGAACCTCCTAGTTCTTGGACTCTGAAACTTATACCAGCAGGCATTCTCTTTCCTCCCCTCCTTCTAGTTCTCAGGCCTTCAGACTTAGATTGAGGTACAACATGAGTTTTTTGGTTCTCCAGCTAGCAGACAGCGGATTGTGGTACTTCTTAGACTCTGTATCACTTGAGCCAATTCTCACAGTAAATACATATTTGTTCTATAAGCACCCGTACATGCTTATCTATAAAAAACCCTAAAGAACTTACAAAAGTATTATTACAGATAATAAATGAATACCAAGGTTGTAGCATATAAGATCAATATACAAAAATCAGTTATATTTCTATACATTGGCAATGAACAATCTGAAAATGAAATTAGGAAAGTCATTCCAGTCATAATAGTATTATAAGTTCCTAGGAATAAATTTAACCAAAATAGTACAAGACTATACACTGAAAACTACAAAACATTATTGAAAAAATTACAAAGACCTAAACAAACAAAAAAATGTTCTGTATTTATTAAATGGAAGAATTGTGATCCTTATCAAAATCCCAACTGCCTGGGGCTGGTGTTGTAGCTCAGTGGTTGAGCACTTGCCTCATGTGTGAGGCACTGGGTTCAATCCTTAGCAACATATAAAAATAAATAAATAAATAAAATATTTTACAACTAAAAAAAAACTATTTTAAAAAAATTCCAACTGCCATTGTTGCAGAAAATGGACTGGCTGGCTCTAAAATTTCTCTGGAATGCAAAGGACGAACAATAACCGAAACTTAATAAAGAACAAAGAAAAGTGTGTATTTTAAAAGAATCACTTTTCAGTTTCAAAATTTGCTATGAAGCTATAGTGATGAAGACATATAAGTCAATGGTACAGAATTGAGAATTCAGAAAAAAAGCCCAAACGTCTATTTTCAGCTGGATTTCAACAAGTGCCAAGACCATTCAGTGGGGGAAAAGTATGGTTCTTCAACAAATGGCACCAAGACAAGTGGATGTCCATGTACAAAAGAATGAATTTGAACCCCTATCTTATGCCATAAACAAAAAGACCTAAATGTAGCTTGTAAATCTGTGTGATATTGGATTAGGCAATGGTTTCTTATATATGAACTCAAAACCATAAGAAACCAAAGAAAAATAGTTGAACATCATTAAAATTAAAAACTTGGGTGTATCAGAGAACACCATCAAGAAAGTGAAAAGGTGACCCATAAAATGGGAGAAAATATATGTAAATCATGTATTTGGTAAGGATCTAATATCTAGAGTATTTAAAGAACTCTTAAAACTCAATAATAAAATACAGTAGGCTTGATTCTACAAAAGGGCAAAGGGGTTTTTTTTGGTGGTTTTTTGTTTCGTTTTTGTTTGGTACCAGGGATTGACTCTTGGGCATTTTACCATAGAGCTAGGTCCCTAGCCCTTTTTATTTTTTATTTTGACACAGGGTCTCACTAAGTCACTGAAGGTCATGCTAAGTTGCTGAGGTTGGCCCTGAACTTGTGATCGTCCTGCCTCAGCCTCCCAGTAGCTGGGATTATAGGTGTGCACCACTAAACTTGGCTTGGGCAAAGGATTTGAATAAACATTCTACCAAAGACAATATAAAAAATGGCCAGTTAACATATGAAAAGATTCTCAACATCATTAGTCATTAGGGAAATGCAAATCAAACCCACTGGATACTACTTCACAACCAGTAGGATGGCTACAATAAAAAAGACAAAGGGGGCTGGGGTTGTGGCTCACTGATAGAGCTCTCACTTAGCATGGGCAAGGCCCTGGGTTGGATCCTCAGCACCATATAAAAATAAATAAATAAAATAAAAGTATTATGTCCAACTACAACTAAAAAAATTTAAAAAAAAAAGACAAAGGGGCTAGAGATATAGCTCTGTGGAAGAGCACTTGCCTGGTATGTGTAAAGCTCTTGGTTTGATCCCAGCACCCTACCCCAAAAGTGTTGGTATGGCCCTGAGGTTGTGTCTCAGTGGTCGAGCACTTGCCTAGCATGTTCAAGGGCCTGGGTTTGATCCTTGATACCATATAAAAATAAATAAATAAAATAATGGTATTGTGTTCAACTACAACTAAAAAATAAATATTAAAAAGAAAGTGTTGGTATGGGTGCAGAGAAATTGGTATTCTCATACATTCAGACATTGTGGCAGAAATATAAAATGGAGCAACAACTACCTAAAACAGTTTGGCAGTTCTTCAAAAAGTTAAACGGTTACCATAAAACTCAGCTATTCCATTCATAGCCGTATTCCCAAGAGATTGAAAACATGTTCATACAAAAACATGTACACAAATGTTCATAACAGCATTATCTATAATAACAAAAAAGTGGAAACAACCTAAGTAACTACTAAATGATGAATGAATAAACAACATATATATCCACACAGTGGAATATTTTCCCGCCATAAAAAGGAATAAAATACTTGCACATGCCACAACATGGCTGAACCTTGAACACAATGTTCTAAGAAGGCAGACACTAAAGGACATTTAATGTCTGTTTCCACTAATATGCAATATTCAGAATAGGCTAATTCAGAGAAACAGTAGATAAGTGGTTGCTGGGCATCAGTATGAGGAAGGACGAATGGGAATGACTATTAACAAGTACAGAGTGGGTTTTTTTGACAATTAAAATGTCCTGGAATTACATAGGGTGAWAATTACACAACTTTGAATACAGTAAATACACTAAATTATATACTTCAAAATAGTGAATTTTATGGTGTATGAACTATATTACAATTTAAAAAGTGAAATAAAAAACACTTGGAAAAAAGGATCAAAATTGGATAATATAGACTGGGAGTTATTCAAAGAGGCAATTCATGGGAATGGATACTCGATAGGGATGCTGTCTAGTTTCTGCAGTATTCTATGCTGTTCTGTTTCTATGCTGTCCAACTGAGGTTTAAAAATAATAAGAATAAAAAGTGAGAAAAGTTGTAAGCCAAACTGTCACAGAGGGCTTTCTTTCTAGAGGGCTAAAAAATACTGATTTGGAATATAGGGTTATATATTGATAGCTCCCTACCTTTAAAATGGTAATAACAGATTTTATTTTGCTTTCAAAGAGTCAAATAATTGCATGCAAGACCATGTGTTGCACCACTGGGGTTGTGGGGGGTGGGCATTCACAGTGACGTCTATGTGATCAGCCTCCTGGCACACAGAAGACAGTGCCGGTGGTTCTCATCCAAGCCATGGTGACATCAGAGGTAGGAAAACATTTTTGTAAAGTTGTCTCTTAAGGTCTCATCAAATATAAATTCCTTTCATTTCCCCAAGATAAAGACCCTCAAATCCATCAACTTTGGTGTTCAGACAAAATGACCTTAAAACAATGTAGAGTTAAAGTTGTCTTTGTTGTTATTAACTAGGCAGAATAGCCACAGCATCTCTGTGTGACTTTGGGGTGTGAAAATGTGACTGCAGAAAAGACCTCCTCTAATTTGCCCTCTCCAACTCCAACAGTTTAGTTTTTTTTTAAGTTGTAGATGGACCCGATATCTTTATTTATTTTTTATATGGTGCTGAGGATCAAACCCAGTGCCTCACACATGCAAGGCAAGTGCTCTACCAGTGAGCTACAGCCTCAGCCTACCCCAACAGTTTTTACACCATCAAATAACAATGTGAAAGAAAAGGGATTTGTGTTTCAGAAACAGCTTTGGGCTTTCTGTCTAGTTTGTTTGGGGCTTACTTTTCTGGTGTTTAGGGCTAGACCAGTAGAAAGGCCAAAGATAAAGATAATAAAGCCCATGTTTTTGTTGTCAGTGGTGTGGTGCATCAAAAAGCTGACTGGAATAGTATCCATGAGAAGATATGTCAGCTCCTGATTCCATTGCGCACTACCATGCCCTTCTATAATTCAGAGGAAGAACGGCAGCATGGCTTGCAGCAGCTACAGCAGCGACAGGTAGGTCCTATAGGACTATTTCAGGGTTAGCTCACGGGTGTAGTGAAACTACTACCTGCAAGGGCCAAACTGTGTGGGGATCACTAAATTGTAACCTTGGTTAGAAGAGAGAATTTGTTTTACATGTGTAAGTTCTTAATCCCATTCAGTCAATTGTTTTTCACATCTCTACTGAATGTTTGCTAGATTGCTAGGGTGGCTATAACAAGATGCCACAGACTAAGTGGCCCTTATTTTCTCAGAATTCTGGAGGCTGGAAGTCCAAGACTAATGTGTTGACTGGTTTGGTTTCTTCTGAGATCTCTCTTCCTGGCTTGTAGTTGGCCCCCGTCTTGGTATGTCCTTATATGGTCCTGTGTGAGCATGTATCCCTGTGTTTTTTTGTGTGTCCAATTTCCTCTTTTTATGAAGATACTGGTCAGATTGAGTTAAAGTGGATTCAATTTTAACTTAACKCTTCAAAGGCCATATCTCCAAATACCATGATACTCTAAGGTACTGGAGGTTAGGGCTTCAGTTTACTAACTTCTGGGGGAACAGATCAGCTCTCGCATTCACATACCAAGTATTGTGATAGTCTTAGCACAGTCAGCTGCTGCATAGAATAAATAAAGAAGAAGGGCAAAACTAGCTACTGTTATGACATTGATAACATCTCAATTGTTATTTTAAAAAGCCATAATTGTCTAAAAACCAGGTTCATTGATTTTAATGTTACAATGCCTTGATAGTAACTTGAAGATAATGTTGAGTTAAAGTTGTTTCTGATATTAGCTAAACAGGATAATTCCAGAAGGAAAAATGAGATTTTTTTGAGAGAAATTCTCTGAAAATTAATTCAAATAGAAAGGCAGAAAGTTTGAGATCATCCTGAGATGTCTGTAGTTTTGGTAAGCTAAAGTTTTAATAAAACTATAAGAATAATATACATTTGTTCATCTAGTAGCTTTATATTGAATCCTCATATTTGCCAAGCAGTGAACTAAGATGAAAAGACACTTGTTCCTGGGCCATGAGAAGCTCAGAGTTGCCTTTTTTCACTACCTGTTTTGGATATCATGTCCATCTTAGTGCAGGCAGTCTCAATATGTACCTTCAATCAGTTCAAAGGATGTTGGCCTTATCTCCAGGGGTATCTACATCCACTTTTGCCTTTTACCTTTTGACTGGCTGAGACAGTCTATTTGTATCTTCCACAGAAGCATTTGATTGAATTCTGCTACACTGTTGCCCAGAAGTATCTTTTTGAAAAAAAATATGCAGAAGCTGTTCCAGCAGCTTTGCATTCCCTTCGCTTCCGCAGGAGTGTGTACGGCCTGAGTTCAGTAGAGCTCGTGCCTGCTTACCTGCTATTGTCTGAGGCCAGCCTTGGTAAGTAGCACTGACCTAGAACCCCTGAAGCCCAAAAGGCTATGTTCAGTCTTGTCAATGATCACAGACTCCAGACTCGACAAAGCCTGATGTCTTACCCAAGACACCTTTTGTGGAATTCTTGAGCAGGGTTGCTGTGAATTTTGACTTGAGGTGGGGAAGGAGATGCCACACTTAAGCCTACAGCTGACAGAAATCCCCTGAAGATAGCCTATGCAAAAGGAAGAAATTTAGCCAGGCATGATGGTTATATCTTTAATTAATTAAATGGTTATGCCTTTAATTCCAGCTATTTGAGAGGCTGAGGCAGAAGGATCAAAAGTTCAGGTCAGCCTCAACAACTTAGTGAGACCCTGTCTCAAAATAAAATTAAATTTAAAAAATGGACTGGGAATATAGCTCAGAGGGAGCTCCTGGGCTTAATTCCCAATATCACAAAAAAGGCGGGGGGAGATTTTGGGGGATGTTGGAGTGTCCTGAAGGAATTGAAGTTTTGTGAGGTCTCGCAAGTGACCTGCACTGACGAGATGAACTGGCTTCAAAAGAGCTGGCTGTATTATTAAGCTAAGAAACTGGCAAAAAAGCACAGAACACAGAAGTAATTCTCATGTTGAGGGTAGGACAGCTATGAGACCTTAAGGGTCAGCTTCCATGCTAGAAGGCCCTAGAAAGAGAGCATGTACCCAGAATCTTTTTATTTTTACAGGGAGGACACACAAAAGAGTTTCTATAGAATGTTCTTCACCAAATAAGGTAGGGGATAAGGTTTCAAAGGGGGACTGTCCAATCCCATTGGATAATGCCCAAGTCCAGAGCTGAAGCAAACTTCTTTGCCCAGCGAAGGTGAAAGCCATTTGCTTCGCACAGCATGTGGCGTGCTTGGGATGCCAGACGGAAACCCCTTTTACTCAAGGATGCGAGGAGATGTTTAGCTCATGGGCATAGCGGCCTCCCACAGTGAGTCACTAGAATTGGAAAACTATAAAAAAAAAAAACAGGCTGGTGCTTTCAGTTTTTCTCTCTTGGTCCTTGTTTCTTGTCTCTGTCTCTCTACTTTGTTTTTTCTCTCTGCAGACCAGATTTTAATACCCTAAGTTTATTGCAGAAGATAGCTACCCCAAAATGTCAGATGTAGTTCTTAAATTTACATGTCTTCAAAGTTCAAGAAAGGTAATAGAAACAAATTAGCATCTGATTTCCAATTACAAGTTCCTAGAAGTTACAATTTTGTTTATCCAGTTTGAGTTTGGTATCTAACCTTGTTCTTTAGAGTCGGGTTTCCATGGTTCAGAGATATAGGAAACCACTGCTTATAAATAGGAGGAGGTGATTCTGAGAGTGGGGAGCACAGGCTTAGCAGATATCCACATACTGGCTTCTATAAGAGAATTAGCACTTGGAGAGGAATTAACATTCTTGAGCATCTACAGTGTTGGCACTGAACTATTACTTTGTGCAGCTAACCCTCATTTTATAAAAAATTTAAGTAAAACTGTTGGAAGTACAGTAGAAAGAACCCCACCCCACCCCATCCTCACTTTGCCATATAAGAATAAATTGCTGACGTGATGCCCTGTCTCTGGAATGCTTCAGCATATATTTCCTGTAAAGACATTTTCTTACAGGACCACAATATAACTTCACCTACTGTCATCTACAAAGAAGCCTCTACTTAATATTTTTCCAATTTTCCCAATAACATTTTCATAGCAAAAAACATTAGAGAATCAGAAAAAGCTAAAATTAATTTGGTTGTCATATGTCTAAAGTCTTCATTCTGGAATAGTTTCTCAGTCTTTCTTTGACTTTGACACTTTTAAAGATTATGGGCCAATTATTTTATAAAGCATCTTTTCATTTGGGTTTTTCTGTTTCCTCATGACTAGACTCAGGTTATGGATTTTGGCAGAAATATCAAAGAGATGACAATGTGTTCTTTCCCTCCTATAAGTTGGCATGCTTTTTCAAGTGTTCCATTTCTAATGATGATCATTTCATTTTATTTGATTTTTATCATTATCAACAGCATTTGGAAAATATTAGATGGAAAACTCCAGGAATAAATAATTTAAAAGATTTAAATAAATTTTATTATAGTTTATTATTATAATTATTCTGTTTTATCATTAGTTCTTGTTGTTCATTTCTTTCTGTGCCTAATTTATAAATTAAACTTTATCATAGATATGTATGTATATATGGGGAAAAACAATATATAGGGCTGGGATTGTAGCTCAGTGGTGGAGCACTTGACTTGCATGTATGAGGCACTGGGTTTGATCCTCAACACCACATAAAAATAAAACCATCTATAATAAAAAATTTAAAAACATAATCTGTGTGTACATATATGTATGCGTATAAGTATATATGTGTATATGTATATATGTGTGTGTGTGTGTGTGTGTGTGTGTGTGTGTGTGTGTGTGTATGAATGATTTGGTACTGCAGGTCTTGGAATATGTTCCCCACAGATAAGCGGGGGGTTACTGTAATAAAATGGCTGTTATTTTTAAGTCATTAAATTTTGGGCAGCAATAGCTAACTAGAACACTGGGTCTACAAAGTTTTAGATTCACTTATACCAGGTTATTCTGCAATCATCACATTTCTCCTAAACCTTTTTAGTCACCAGCCTATGGACAAAAATTCAAACACTTTAATTTAAAACTCTCAATTGGCTTTATTTTCAATTCTAGAATTAGGTAACACTTTATCCCATAAAGTAGAACAGATATTCCTGATGTTCATTTTAATTACTTTATTAAGGTGATGTCTGCCAGGCTTCTTCTCTGTCGTGTTATTCTTTCTCCCCTATACAATAAATGAGTTTGCAATTTTAGTTTTAATTGTATGGAGCTGTATGTTAAAGCCATATTCCTTATTAAACTTTCAATGCAGTCATATCAGTATACACTCCTGGTTTCCTATTTTATTCAGTGGGTTATAATACATTGCTGCAGTTAATTTGGTCCTCAAACTGTTCCCAGTTTGACCAGTGGCAGCTCCCACTCAAGCTGTCTTCTGAGTCTCCTTGGCACATCCTCATGGTTGTTTGATCATTTTCTGGAACATATCTCCAAGCATCCCTGATTTCCCTTCATGGAAACTGAAATGTGAAAACCAAGAACTGTGCACTGTACTGCCTGATACAGGGGTCTTGCTGCTCCCAGGCCATTTCAGTGGACAGAGTTAAAGAACATGTGTAAACATAGATGACCATGAGCCTATGCCAATATGTCCAAATCCTGTACCATACCACACACAGGCTTCCACCTAATTTTCTCCCATTCTGCATTTGTAGTGCCTTTCTGGCAATGAGAAAGCCAGCTTCCATTTTTACTAGTCTATTTATATATTTAATCAGCCCCCTCCCTATTTGAACCAGTCCTCCATATCCAACCCTATCCCTTCYTCCTTGCAGATGTCCTGCTCTACCTCCATGAGCTCTGACTCTTCATTCTGTGTTGGTTCTTCTTTATGCATACCCTCCTCACTCTTTGGGCTCTCACCCCCTGTTTACCTACAGGAATGCCTCCTCACCCTGCTTGTTCTAGCCCTTAGAGAATTCTCTCACCTCCATTCTCTTACCTTATCTCTCCCTCTCTTCCTATATTGCCTTCTCTCAATTCCTCAGAGGTGTGGAGTTGTTTCCTTGTTCTGGGAGTCTCTTCTCTAACCATTCCCTGTACTTGTCCTCCTTTCCCCTTCACCCAATTAACTCCTACTCAAACTTCAGGTCTCAGCTGAAAGTTACTAACCCCTTGTCTAGAAGCCTTCCCCAGGGCCCCAGACTTAGTTGGTTGGGTCTATTTAATACACTCACTTAGAAACCTCCTCCTGTTTGCTGAGCACTTACTCCATTGATAGGTGTATATCATTGTGAGATTATTTAATCAATGTCTCTCTCTCTCTCTCCTGGACTTGACTGTAAGCTCAGGGAGAACTGGTTCTGTGCCTGTTCTAACTCATCATGTCTTCACACTTAGCAGAGTACTTAGGACAGTGAAGGTATTAAAAAACTGCTGTCATGGTACCTGAGAGCAGTTTTTTAATACTGCTCTCATGATAATGGTTACCTAGGCAGCATTGTGTAAGCATTTGTTGAATCGGAGTCCTTGTCACAGGATTGCTTTGGGGTTAAGTGAGTTCATAGGTAATGAATGTGACAGTGCTCTGAAAACTGGAGAGTGCTGTTGAAATGGAAATTTCACAACTGCACCAGGTCACTGATTTAAAACCTTGCCAACTGTAGTAAGCAGCTTTCTGTTGCTGTGACAAATACCTGAGAAATCCGTGTAAAGTGGGGAAATGTTTATTTTGATTCACAGTTTCAGAGCTTTCAGTTCATGGTCACTTGGTCTGGTTGCTGTCAGGTCTGCAGTGAGGGAGTACATAGCAGCAGAAGCATGTGGCAGAGGAAAGCTGCTCACCTCCTGGCAGCCAGAGAGAAAGGAGGGGCTGGGGACAAGATATGCCCCCAGCGACCTAATTCCTTCAATGAGGCCTCAACTCCTATAGTTTGTACCCCCTCACAATCGCCATCAGTTGAGGATCAAGCCTTCAGTCGAGGAGCCTTTTGAGGACATTCCAAATCTGCCAATGCTTTTTTTTTTTTTTTTTTTTAATTTTAAAGAGAGAGAGAGAGGAGAGAGAGAGAGAGAGAGAGAGAATTTTTAATATTGATTTTTTAGTTCTCAGCGGACACAACATCTTTGTTTGTATGTGGTGCTGAGGATCGAACCCGGGCCGCACGCATGCCAGGCGAGCGCGCTACCGCTTGAGCCACATCCCCAGCCCCTATGCCAATGCTTTTGAGACAGTAAATAAGTCACAACTTTCGGGCACATGCTTCTTTCCCAACCTAGAGATTCCTCCAGACTGAATTGGAAAATTAGCAGATATTCAGCCATTTCTTCTTTTTTTCCTCTCTTTTTCTTATCTATTTCTTCTTCCTCCTCCTCCTCCCCTCCTTCCCCTTTCTCCTCATCCTTCTTTTTTATTTTAATCAACTAGAAAAGGCATTTTCAGTAACACTTGAAGGGGAGGCCACCCTACCCGTCTCCTGCCACTGTTGGCAGTGCTTTGGGAACAGGAGAAGCTGGGTTCAGATCTCTGCTCTTTCTTTACTGGTTTGATGATTCTAGGCAAAGAGCTCTTCCTGGCCTCAGGGCTGGCTTTTATTCACACTTCAGATATGTGCTTAGAGGGAAAAAATAGTCACAGAGGCATTAGGCCCAAGAGGAAGGACAGAGCGGAAGGTCGGTATATGAGAGGTTCATATCTTCACCTYCTACCCCTTTATTGGTGCCATCTCTGCTGCAGCATTCGTCACATAAAACACTCCACACCTGGAGCACGCATCCTGCTCCACAGAATGCTGTCACAGTAGTTTCTAATCAGTTTGAACAGCCTTTCTAGGAGGCAAGCAGGCAGACAGGCAGCTGTTATATATCTTTGTAGCTGAACAAAAAGCTTTAAGTGTGAAGGGTATCTGAATACCAGAAATAATGGTAACTTTCTTTTCTCTCACCTTCTGCATTACTTAGTGAGGGTGTGTTGACCATTCTGCCCTCAGTGCCCCTCTTATATCTGCTCCATGTCCATTCACTGGTGTGGCTCAGGCTTTTTTTTTTTTTTTTTGTCTGAACTATTTCAAAAATCTTCTATTGAATCTTCTACCTTTCATCCTCCCTTTTGGTCCCTCCTCTACTTTGGTTTCAGATCGTTCTAAATCTAAACCCAATTCTTTCTTTCTTTCTGAAAATCTTCTCATTTTGTCCCCATGCATCAAGTTTCTTGGCATGACTTCCTAAGCCCACAATACTCTGCCCATGTGCAGTTGCTTCTTGACCTCATTCCTGCCACCCCATATTTTGCACCCTGTGCTCTTGGCTCACAGACCTGCAGTTCTCCAAACATAACCCACTATTTCCGATCTCCATGACTCAGCGTATGCTGTTACCCTGCCTGGGATGCCCTCTCTCACTCTCTTATCTAGGTAGGAAACTTCATCCTACAATCTTGCTCAGCTCAGTGGACCCTGCTTCTCCCTACTCCATTGTCCCTCTCCATCTCATTCCTAGAATTAAACATTTCTTATTCTGTGCCACTTTCAAACCTTATGTTCCACCATCACATGTGTACTGTATTACAAATATGTGTTTTCATTTTGCACATGCCTTTCCCCAGCCCATCTGTGAATTTTTCAAGGGTAATAGCTTTGATTCATCTTTGAATTCTTGAGAACTTTTTTTGGAGGTTCTAGCAGGGGTGCACAGCTACTCATATACCCTTGACTGAAGAACGGTCCTCCTCTATTGGCAAAGATCATCCTGAATTCTTATTACTCAAGTAAGGTGTGACACATAAAAGGTATTCAATTTGCATAATTATCGTTTTTGAAATCGAGATATAATTTACATACTATAAAATTTACCCTTTTTAAAAATATTTACTTTTTAGTTATAGGTATACACAATATCTTTATTTTTATTTTTACGTGGTGCTGAGGATCGAACCCAGTGCCTCACACATGGTAGGCAAGCGCTCTACCTCTGGGCCACAACCCCAGCCCCAAATTCACCCTTTTAAGGTACAATTCAGTGGTTTTAGTATATTTATAAGGTTGTGTGACTATCACCACTATCTAATTCTAACTTCATTCTTCAAAGAAACCCTGTAACTGCTAGCAGTTATTCCCCTGTTAGCCATTCCAGCCCCCTCCTCTTGTGTCCCTAGTCCCTACAAATTCACTTTCTATCTAAATGGATTTGCCTATTATAGACATTTCATATAAATGATATATAATATGTGGCTTTTGGTGTCTAACTTCTTTCTCTTAGTATAATGTTTTCAAGGTTCATCTACACTGTAGAATATATCAATACCTTTTTCTGGCTAAATAATATTCCACTGGTAGACATGATTATATTACGTTGCTCATCTACTCATAAAATGATGGATGTTTAAGTTGTTTCTGTGGGGGTTTTGGCTGTTCTAAATAGGCTGCTGAGAGTATTCATGTGCAGATTTTTGTGTGTCAATAAATATTTGAACCAATGAACAAATGAATGTATGGTGAATCTTACTTCTTCATATGTTTTCTTCTTTTTTTAAAGAATTATTATTATTTCTTTTAGTTGTAGATGGACACAATATCTTAATTTATTTATTTTTACCCAGTGATGAGGATCAAACCTAGTACCTCACACATGTGATGCAAGTGCTCTACCACTGAGCCACAACCCCAGCCCCTCATGTGCTCTTTTCATCATGTGTTCTTTGTAACCTTCTTTACTGCTTTTGGGCAGGTATGGGCCGGATTGTTCAGGCTGAAGAATACCTATCCCAAGCCCAGTGGACAGTCCTCAAGTCAACTGACTGTCAAAATGCAACACAGTCATTACTGCATCGGAACCTGGGACTTCTCTATATAGCCAAGAAGAACTATGAGGAAGCCCGATATCATCTGGCCAATGATGTAAACAAGTTAAATTATAACACCTGGATGCTTCCAAGAAAAGCTCTGTTCAGTTTTTTTTTTTTTTTTGTTGTTGTTGTTGTTTGTTTGTTTTTATACTAAGCATTTCTCGAAACTTTTTATTTGAGAATGCCTTTTGGTGGCTGTTAGCAAGAATACATCTAATGGCCTGAATTTAAACCTTTCTACTTCCTGGCCATGCCACCGTTGCCAGGTTAGATCTTCCCTGAGCCTCAATTGCTCCGAGAATAATAAGTGGGGACAGATTGATTCCTGATTAAGAGAAAGGCTTTGCTCCTAGTCCCAACTCTGTTGTTTCACTACCCTCACAGTCTGGGACAAATTACTTTACCTTTTTTATTGCTTACAAGACAAAAAAAAAAGTCTTTTCCACATTGGGTCATTGCAAAAATTAATAATAGAACAATATGTGTGCAGTACTTTGGCTATTTTTAAAAATAACACTGTCTACTTCAGAGTGTGGTTATTAAATTTAAATGAGCTAGATCTATAAGAAAGCACTTATAAACTATAAAACTCTATGAATGTTAGATAGGATAATGAGGATGATAACCAAGCTGTTCTTCCAAAATTATGAGATTCCCATTAGGATTTTAGTATTGGAAAATATTACAAGAGAGGAGTTCCTGAGCCTGAAATCTAGGTTAGGTTGGGGCAAATTGCACTTTCCATGTAGGTTAGTTCTTTCTTTAGCCTTTTCCAGCAGGCAACGGAGCTCTGGTTGCATGCCACTGCACAGTACCCATAAATTCATTCTGATGCTGGTTATTTCCAATACTCTAAATTTGTCCTTGGCCCTGGGAGGATGACCTCCATGAAGTATACAACCCAGACCCCATTGCTGTCTGGTTTGGGATGAGTTTGGAGAATGGGAAGCAGAGCAGGGAAGTGGAGGGTGTGAGAGAGATTGGGGTATTTATATTCTCTGCTGCCTTCCTGTACCACTTTGCTCTGGCAGGGCAGCCAGTGCTCCCCTGTGGCCACAGTGTCTTATCAAGGGACCTTCTTCCATAGTGCTAGCACTGGCTGGGGTTACCCCTGTTTTCTACCCCTGGTTTTTGAACTGTAAGGATGATAATGGTTTCTTGCTGTTGGWTGTCCTTAATGCTTCACTAGCCCTTGTTGGTTCCTTAACCCTTTCACATCTCAAATATTTTTTCTACTAGACTATCTTCAGGCAATCCTTTTGAGGGTGACATCATTTCATCCTGGCTCCCGGACCCATGTAATCATCCTTTGAGCTTTTTCTCTATCCTCCACATCCTCCAATGAATTAAGCAGAGGCACATTCTGTCTTGAGCTGGGCCACCCAGTTATGAATTATGTCAAACACACATTCTTTAGCCTAGCTTTTTTTTCCTCTTAACCCATTTTATTGATATATACCAGAAAATTCACCCATTTTAAGTGTGCAGTTCAATGATTTTTAGTACATATTCAGAACTGTGCAGCTATCAGCACAATTGAGTTTTGGAACATTTCCATCACCCTCAAGAAATCCCTTATATCCATTTGCAGTCATTTCTCATTCCCACTCCAGGCCCAGGCAACCACTTTTTGATTCCTTAGATTTGTCTTTTCTAGACATTTTATATAAACAGAATCACAAATAGAACTCAAATCTGACTTCTTTCACCTTGCATAATCAGTTTGGATTCATCCTTTTTTTTTTTTTTTTTTTTTGCTGAGAAGTAGTCCCTCATCTTGGGTAGTCCACAGTTTGTTTATCCATTCATCATTTGATGGGACATTTCAGATGTTTCTCTTTTGGGCTATAACGAATAATGTTGCCAAAACATTTGTGTACAAATCTTCATGTGGACACATATTCTCAATTCTCTTGGGTAGGTACCTAGAAGAGGAATTGCTGGATCATATAGTAACTCTATGCTTAACCTCTCGAGGAGCTGCCAAACATTCCCACCAGCAACATGTGAAGGTTTCGTTTTTCTCCTCATCATCACCAGCACTTGTGGTTTTCTGGGTTTTTGATTATAGCCATCCTACTGGCATGAAGTGGTATCTCATATGGTTTTATTTTGCATTTCTCTAATGACTGTCAATCTTAAGCATCTTTTATGTGTGTTTATTAGTTATCTACATATCTTTCTGGAGAAATTTCTAGATTCTAAGCCCATTTTGACATTTGATTATTTTAAAAATTCTTTCTGTGTATTCTGGATATAGGATTTTTATCTAACATGATTTGCAGAGGAATTCCAGCATTCTCCTTTCTCCTCCTGCAATAGATTTATTTTGCCAGTTGTGCATTTGGAACAGAGGACATCAGGACCTCAGGAGGCTACTTCCACTTGGCTAATACCTTCTATGATCTTCAAAAAGTGGACCTAGCAGACACATTGTACACTAAGGTGAGCTAGAGAATGTGGGAACTGAACCTTGACATTTAGGCCAGGTATATTACAACTGGTGTAAGACCATTTGTGAGAAACATACCATAAAGAGAGGCTCAGAGAAATTAAGGGTCTTGCCCAAGGTTACATAGCCTGATACACCAAAATAGATTAATCCCTGGCAAATAATAAATGATAGTCCTAAGAACCAGAGCTTAAGAGGCTCTCTCTCACCCAATGGGAGCAAGCTAATGTGGGTGTATTGAGGTGTGTGACAGAGAAGAGCTTTATAAGGGACATTTATTGCTGCAAGGTCCTGTCAAAAGATCAAAGAACTTGAAAGTAGCCAGGCATGGTGGCACATGCTTGTCATCCCAGTTATTTGGGAGGCTGAGGCGGGAGGATCACAAGGTCAAGGCCAGCCTGGACTTAACAACACCTGTCCAAAATTTAAATTTTAAAAAGGGATAGGCATGTGGCTCAGTGGTGAGTGCTTGCCTAGCATACACAAGACCCTCGGTTAAATCCCCAACACAAAAACAAAACACTCACAAAAACTGTTTCCAGTATATTAAGATATCATTTAAGTTCATTCACTACCACCTCATTTAGCTAGCAACTGTTTCTGTGTGTGATATAGGCTCTCATGTTGTGACTCTTGATTCATACTTTAGACCCAATTCTTTAAAAGAGGCATTTTGGTATAACTAAAAAGCCAAGAGTTTTGGAGTCAGACAGACCTGGGTTTAAATCCAGGACATGCCACTTAATAGCTCTTCCCAAAAATCCAGTGTGCTCATAGCTTCTCTGAGCCTCAGTTTATTTACACATAAAATGGAAATAATAAGAATATTACCTCAATTATTGTTGTGAGGATATAAGTGTTTAGGGTTGTTTGTGTCCTGTGAATAGTAGTTATTGTTATCAGATCCCACAGGATTGCTCTAGATGTGCCCATTGCAGCCCATCCCTGAACACATTAATTTGGCCAGGGCTTTTTGGGTTCCTAGGGCTCCCTCTGCCTCCAACTCAGGAACTCTGGCCCCATGTGCTGCATTCATATCTGGCTGATCTAACAGCTGAGGTCTGGCTCCCTTGTCTGATAGCCATCTTCTTTTCTAACAGGTCTCAAAGATCTGGCATAAATATTTGAATGAACACTATCAAGTCCTCTCACAGGCTCATGTAGAACAAGCAGACTTACTGCGCAAACGATTTGTGAATGACACTGGCTTGGGTAAGTGCTAGTTCACTCTAGGAAGCAGAGCCATGACCTCATCCTACCTAATCACAGGCCTTACACCTAACAGGGAGAGTAGCTGTTCCCATCATGGGGCATATCAGTGCCACCTTCCCATTTTACTGATGGGGAAAACCGAGCTTTTACTAGGGCTGGGAAGAATTCAGATCCTTCTTATGCATAGCCCTCAGGGAATAAATATGGGACAGATTTGGAGGCATAAAAGACCCTGAAGAGCATCCATTTCTTCTATATTATCCCTCCAGGGAACATAAGCCATGAGATAGTCTCTACATAGTTTAACCAGGCAGGCAGCACATATCTGTAATTCCAGCTACACTGGAGGCTGAGGCAGGAGGATCTCAAGTCTGAGGCCAGCCTTAGCAACTTAGCAAGATCCTGTCACAAAATGAAATAAAAGGCTGGGGGTGTTAGCCCGGAGCTAAAGCACCACTGGATTCAATCCCCAGTATCAAAAAAAAAAAAAAAGTTGCATTGCTAATTAATTCTGATGTCTCACATTCATTTCTCCTTTACAGAACAGTGAGTTCCTCTGAAGCAGGGCTAGATTTGATTCATGTCTATCCCCAGGCTCAGCAAAGGACTGAGTGTTGAGAGCACTGTACAATATCATGCCCTCTGAGATAATAGACAAGGGATCTAGTTTCTGCTCAAAAGAGTCATTCAGTACAGTGGGTGATACAGAGCCTATGTGCAATAACAAAGAACATTCCCATGACTATAAATTATATTACAGATGAATACCAGAAGGAAGAAGGGAGGACGGTTGGGTGGTGTTGAAGGGAGACTTTTTTGGAGGAAAGACTTTGAGGGAAGGTTTAAAAAATTAATTAGTTTATTGGATTTTCTCTCATTATAAAAGTGGTTTACCGTATAGCAGAAATCTTGGAAATCATAGCTATCCAAAGATCACCGGCCTTTAGGCTTATTACTTAAATACATGCCTGTTAGTCCCTGACTCATAGTAACTGTTTATTTATTAATGTGGGACCAAAAACCACTGGGGGGAAAATGTGACAGACTCATGTGAGGAAGCAGAAAGGCTATTGCTTAAGTATCTTTGGACTTAGGGGGAGAAATTAAGCCACTACTATGGCAAGATATTCCCCTTGCTCCCTCCATCAGCTCTAGGGTGGAAGCAGAAGTGGACCCAAGGAACCCAGCTGTGACAAATGCCCTGGGTTTAGGAGCCCACAAGATTTATTAGAGTTCAGGGTCTAAAGGAGAGACAGCTTAGTGACTTTGGGGCTTGTGGAGGAGCATTTTTCAGGTTACTCTGGTAGTGACATGCCAGGCAGTGCCCAGGGCTGCCTGAAGCTGTCCCACTTCCTGCTCTGCATGTGGCACAGTCCTTCTGCAGCTGGAGAACTAGCTGTGATTTGTGCTGTTTCCGTTGGAACCCTGGGAAGAAGCCAGGCCCCTGCCTGTGGGGGGCTTATGATGAGGGCAGGCTCTTTCCTCCCTTTTCAATGCAGATGAAGCCCAGGAAGCAGAAGCCATTCAGATCCTGACTTCAATCTTGAACATTCGAGAATCAACTTCTGACAAAGCTCCTGAAAAGACTATCTTTGTTCTGAAAACCTTGGTCATGCTTCACTACCTGATGATGAATTCTTTCAAGGCAAGTTTCCCCAGAAACTTGTAAAATGCAGAACGAAATGCATCAAGTAGTTGAATCCATCTGTTTTTGCCCAATTCTACTAGCTTTTTGTCCTTAGGGAGCAAGCCCTCACTCTAGAAAAGTTCACAAGCTCATGACATTTCTCTTTTGCTGAGTCCAGCCTGCTTAGTGGGACCTGGATTGTCTCCTTCCCTAGGGAAGCCTTCTAGGATTGGGGAAGTACTGGGAAGCTTGCAGGGCAGGAGGGCTCTGGAGGGTCTTTGGAGTAGGAAATGGCTGCTTTAACTGCATTCAGTTACTAATTTCCCTTTTGCTACAGAGATTCAGGCAGGAATGAACTGCTGTGAAATGGTTAAAAAGGTAACTGTTTTTGAGTAATTAGTACATGCCAGTCACTGTCTTAAGCCCTTTACATAATTATCATATTTAATTCTCAAAACAACTTTATGAAGTTAGTATTTTATTATCATCATTTTAGAGATAAGGAAACTGAGGCATAGAAAGGCTCAATTCTTTGCCCAGTTTCATAATAAGAGAGCTCATGTAAAAAAATAAAAAAATTCTTTGCCCAGTTTCTTACAGATGGTAAGTGGCATGTCTAATTTATTAATGGACTGAATCAGTCATTCATTCAAATATTTATTGAGCAGCTACCATTTGCTAGACACTCTTCTAGGGACTGGGGATAGAGTGGTGAACAGAAAGACAAGTTTCCTCTCTCTATGGAATTTATGATTTTTAGAGGAGGGGAAGCCACAGTAAATAAGTAAATGTATAAATGTGTAATATAACTCTAGACAGTAAAAATTGCCATAGAAAAAAACAAAGTAAGCTAGGGTTAGTATAGGGGGCTGGTTGGAGCAGGTCTTTCTCTGTGGGTGACATGGGAAAATTTATGTTTTCCTTCCCTACTCCCTCCTTCCCTTCCTTCCACAAACTTTTACTAAGCACTTACTGTACATCAGGGCTTGGGGAAGCTCACAGTTATAATAGAGAATAAAGCAAATCTCAGGGCACTGTGGAAGCCCAGAAGAGGGGCACTGACCCTGTCTGGAAAGGGTAGGTGGATTATGGAATATGGAAGTGTTCCCGCTGAACTTTAAATTTACCTTGGCCAAAACCTGCAGTACAAGGTCCAATTTTGGGGAAGTTGTTATCCCATAGTGTGTTAGGATGTCAGATCTAATAGAGATCCTCAAACAAAAGGAACACATCTGGACAAAAGGAACACCTCACTTCCTCAGGTCTTTACTCAGCTGTTTTTTCTGTGACACTTTCTGAGCCTCCCTGTCTAAAACTACAAAACCCTACCACCACCTCTAATGCTTCTGATTCCTCTTTCTTTTTTATTTTATTCTGTAGCATTTATCACTAGTTAAGATACTATTATGTTTTACTTGTTTTGTTTATAGTCTTTCTTCCATACAATATTGTAAGTTCCATGAGGACAGGAATTTTTGCCTGTAGTCACAGTACCTGGAATATAGCATCCATTCAGTAAAAATATTCAGTAAATATTTTTTAGAAGGAAAGAAGAAAGAAAACAAGAGAGAAAGAGAAAACAAGAGAGCATCCTAAAATGTCCTGTGGAGCTTCTTCCTGGGTTAAATTTTCAGGTCACATGGCTCCTAGGACTATGCCAGGATGATAATTTATTTGTGGTACCTGTCACTTCTGTGCCTCCCAATGCTAGTCGGGAGGACTCTGATTAAGATCCTACAAAGAACCAGGCCTGGTGGTGCACACTTGTAATCCCAGCAACTCAGAAGATTGAGACTAAGGCAGGATGATCACAAGTTTGAGGCCAGCCTGAGCAACTTAGCCAAACCTTGTCTCAAAAAAACAAAAAGGACTGGGAATGCTTAGTGATAGAGCACCCCCGGGTTCACCAAAAAAAAAAAAAAAGCAACAATCAAAACCCAAAACTCCCTACAAAGACTTGAGTTTACTAAGGAATACCCATTTACTTAGTTTGTTAAATACTTAGTATTAGTTGGTTAAGTCAGATGGATTTTTCTGGTATTCCTACCCACTGAGCACAAATATGGCTAGCTGTCCAGGACCCAGAGTAAGCAAAGAAAGTTCACAGTTTGGTGAACAAGAGCTCAGTGGCTGGTGTGGGCAGGTRATGAGTCCTCTCCCCTGTTTCTGGAGTTGAGCACAAATGGAGCTTCCCAATGTTATGCATTTCTGGGCCAAGTTCCTTTTGTCACTTCAATTTTATTTCAGGCAGAAGAATATGCCATACAAGCCCTCAATCTGGCCAAAAAACTGGAACTCAGTGATGAAGAGCAAAGCAACATTGAAGAATTACTACACCTCATCTCAGCTGAAGAAGAGCATCCCATTACTTAGTGACCCATGAGCTCTGCATCACGGCTATTGAACGCCTAATATATTTCAGTCTTGCTCAGTGGCTCTTGGTCCTCTGGGTTGCTGAAGTGTCCACATTTTTTCCATGGGACTGCACCCATAGGTGGGATTTTTTAGCATATGTGAGGGAATATAGAGCTTTAGGCATAGAAATCAGTAAAACTACTGTTTATTAGGAACTTGTACTTGGTTTAATATGATTTTGTATGACTTTGAGTAATGTGTGGTCAGATCACTAATAAGTATTTGTACTTAAACTGTAAATAGTTTGTCATATTTCCCAAAAGTCTGTCAGTGCTGTGTGTTTCATAAGTGTATGCCAAGTGGGGAGTATAGAATAGAGCTATATTGGAGCAAAGTTTTCTCTTCTACTGGAATTAAGTTAGCATTAATCTGAGGCAGATTGTGACAAAAATATCCATTGTAATTCCTGCGGCAATCACTAAGAAAATAACTCTTAAAATAGTTAAAAATTAACAAAGATTTAAAAGGTGCACTAGAAAATATCCACTTACAGCAAGAGAAGGCAGTAAAGGAGGAATAGAGGAACACAAGAGACACGKAACATAGAGAAGACAGCAAAATGCGACGTAAACAAGAAATGAGTACTTCACAAGTCAAGGGAGCCCAGGATGCACAGGCTGAGATGCCGTTCCAGGCTGGTGTCTTTAATATCTCGTACAGTAATTTGAAGCAGAAGTGAGCCATCTTATACTCCGTGGGAGAGGCACTCTGAAAGGCCACCTGTGATGCAGAGGACAGAGTTCAGGCCTTGCGCTCAGTAATGCCAGAGTTTAAAACCCAGCTCTCTTACATGACTGCTTTGGGACCTTGATCACACATAGCTTTACGTATTATTGTTGTGAAATGGTCTAGATGTGGCCACACCTGTATCGGCTTGTCCCATCTTGATGACTTTGGACACTTATCTCATCCTTTTTTTCCTCCTTTAGCTCTTTTCTGAACTTAACAAAAAGCACTTTGCTTCCTGGGTAGATCCACATGCAGGGTGAATATGTGCAGATCAGGAACCTGTCAGAGAGTTTTATGATCCTCACTGTAGATTAATTCATTCAGATACAAATAATAAAAATATGTCAGATGGTTTACCCTGCCCCTTTATGTAAAATCAGCTGGAACCTCCATTCCCTACCTTTGGAGATTCTCATACTTCTCTAAGATGGCTGTGCAGTCCCTGGGGCTCACTTGTCTTTCAGCCATTTCTTCATCCAGTTTGAAGCTTCAGCATTGTATAGCTGTTCCTTCTCTTTAGGAACACAACCACCTCTTCTTTTTTCTCACTCCCTAACCCCAAATAGGAACCAGCTCTTTAAAAGAGACCCTTAGTGAAGACTGGAGGGGCAAAGAGGAGGATCAACAATTCTACAGAAGATAATAAAAAAAAAATTAGAACTTCCAATTCTAAAATCATCCTTTAAAGTCTATGCTGTTACACTCTAGCTCTCTCCCTTACCATATCCAATGGCCCTTCTCTGTTTTCCCCTTAACCCTTATATATTTTCTGTTTTCTCTAATCCTGAATTCCTTTTCAYTAATACTTCTGCACTGGATCTATTTGTATAGTTATTATTTAAGTTAAATTCTTTAAATTTTTGTTTCTATTARCTGATTTTATTTTTATTTATAGGCCATTATTTTTCTTTTCTACATGTCCAATAATTTCATTTTCAATATTTCTTCTTTTCTAACACTTGTGTTTTCAGGCCATAAATTTTCCTCAAAGCAGTGCTTTCAATGATCCCACCTATTTTAAAATGCAATATTTTATTTTTATTCTTAGTGTTTTAAAATTTTTTATGACTCATGAATCATTTAGAAAGATGAATAGAGATGAATAGTTAGTCAGCTTTCCATGACTGTGACAAATACCTGAGATAATCAACTTATAAAGAGGAAAGATTTATTTTTGATCACAGCTGCAGAGCTTTCAGGCTATCATTATTTTACTTCATTGTTTTGGGGCCTGTGATAAAGTAGAATACTGTGATGGAGAGTGTGTGGTAGAGCTAAGCTGCTCACCTCATAGTGGCCTGGAAGCAAAAAGAGAGAGCAAGGGACCAAAGTACATGTCCCCTTCGGGGGCGTGCCCGCAATGACCTGAATTCCTTCCACTAAGCCCCACCTCCTAGCAGTGCCACCACTTCCCAATAGTGCCATAGCTGGCAGCCATGCTGTTAGCATTTGGGTCTTTGGGGGGCATTTGAGATCCAATATGATTCTTAACTTCTAAAGGAAGGTGATTTTCTTTCTTTGTTGTTGATTGCTGGCTTAGTTTTATTGTGGTCATAGAACATGTTGCATACAATTTTGATAGAGATTAATTGAAATTTAGATTATGACCCAGGATATGGCCATTATCTATAAATGTTCCACATGTGTTAGAAAAGAATGGAACTATTAGGAGCAGGGTCCTGTATGTGCCCATTAAGTAAAATTCATTAATATTTTCAAATTTTTGCTGATTTTTTTGGTACCAGGGATTGAACCCAGGGGCGCTTAACCACTGAGCCACATTCCCAGCCCTTTTTTTATATTTTGCATTTAGAGACAGGGTCTTGGGCTGGGGATGTGGCTGAAGCGGTAGCGCACTTGCCTGGCATGCGTGTGGCCCGGGTTCGATCTTCAGCACCACATACAAACAAAGATGTTGTGTCTGCCGAAAACTAAAAAATAAATATTAAAATTCTCTCTCTCTCTTAAAAAAAAAATAGAGACAGAGTCTTGCTGAATTGATTAGGGCCCCCACTAAGTTGCTGAGGCTGACTTTGAACTTGCAATCCTCTTGTCTCATCCTCCTGAGCCACTGGGATTACTACAGGCATGTGCCACTGTGCCCGACTTTTGTCAAATTTTTGTTAATTCTCAAGAGAGGTATGTAATCATGAATTTATCTGTTTCTCCTTACAGTTGTGTCAATTTTTGCTTAATATACTTTAAGGTTTTGTTATTAGCCATATAAATTTAAATAGAATTATGTTTTCCTGGTGAATTGATTTTTTTGTATTGTCTCTACCAAAGCTTTTGACTTAGTCTATTTTGGTCTTAATAAAGCTGCACCCATATCCTTGGGGTCTGGATTATTTGTTGTCAGTTAGGCATCCTCACCACTGCCTTCATCATTTACTTCTGCTTAGAGGAGGAGCTTGGAAGTCAATTCCCATTGTGCCCTTTCTTTAATGATTAAGGGTAAAATTCTGCCAGTGAGGACCAACTGCTCAAGATTTGGAAGTTGCATATGGAGCACTCATGAATCTCTCCAAGAATAATCGGTTCTTGTTTTCCTGAAAGCATATTTCCTGTGAAAGCAGCTTGCTGACCTTTGTTTTCTGATTTTTATCACTCAGCTATTTTAAAGATCATATAAGTTTCTGATTCCCTCCATTAAATAAATCTGTTTATTCACAATACTTAGGGAGGCTTCTGTTTTCCTGACTGACTGAAACACTTGACATTCTTCCTGCAAACCCTTTATTTTAATCTATATCTTTATGTTCTAGATGAATCTCTTACAAAAATAATGAGATTAGATATATTATATCTGTGATTCTTAAAGAATCATTTAGTTCATTTATATTTTGTTTGCATACTAAATTATTTAGGATTAAGTCTATAATCTTATTTTGTGCTTTCCAGTTGTCCTGCATGTTATATTTCCCCCTTTCTTTTGGATTGATTACATAACTTTCTCTCTGTTTCTTCTCACCCTCTGTTAGTCTGTTGGTTATAGCCTGTGTTTTTGTACTTTTAGTGATTGTTCCAGAAATTGAAGCATTCATTTCTAAGTTATCAAAATCTAATATTCAGGAACCTTCATCTGCAAAAGACAAAGTCTTTAGATTGTCAACTATATTTACCCCAACCAAACTTATATGTTATTACTGCTATTTATTTCCAACATATCTTTTTAAAAAATATTTTTTAGTTATCAATGGACCTTTATTTTATTCATTCACATGTGGTGCTGAGAATCAAATCCAGTGTCTCACACATATTAGCAAGCACTCTACCACTGAGCCACAACCCTGCTCCTCCTATATATCTTAAACTCAGAAATCATAATTATCATTTTATAATGTTTTCGTATTTTTTGCTCTCATACCTTCCATCTGGGCTCACATTACTAATAAATCTTAGTACTTCCTATAATGAGGGTTTGCTGATGGCAAATTCTTAGATTTTCTTTCTTTTATTAATATGAAAATATTTATTTTGCCCCCAGTTTTTGGCTCTTGAATGAAAATGTATTTCATTTTATGCATGATATAGTGATGCAGGAAATAATCTCAATTCCAAAAAGCTCTGTGAAATGTGGTTTATTTGACTCCAAAGACTAGACCAGGAGCTCTAATAATGCTGAGGGTCCCTCAGAGAGTCATACAAGTGCTGCTATTCATCTCCCACCAGTTAATCCTATCTTTCCTAAGTATCTTTGGCAGAATTTGCAGGGTAGAGATTATGAATCATCCCTGAAAGATCCTATTAATTTTTTCTATTGCAAGCACATATGCAATGTTAGAAATCACATCATATTGTCTATGAACCTTTATTTAATAAAAATCGACCTTTATTTAACAAAAATGAGGAGAGAAGTAGGTGCTTGGCATTCTTTTTTTTTTTTTAATATTTATTTTTTCTTTTTAGTTTTCGGCGGACACAACATCTTTGTTTATATGTGGTGCTGAGGCTCGAACCCGGGCCGCACGCATGCCAGGCAAGTGCGCTACYGCTTGAGCCACATCYCCAGCCCGCTTGGCATTCTTACTAGGTAACATTTTATCATTGCACAGCTATGGGCCTGTACTGTGGAGTAGTCCTTAGAGGACCATGATTCAAATAAAATTGCTCTACTATTAGTAGACCTCACCATGTCCGACAATAGCTACATGTGCAAATGAAGTATCTTTGTATTCACAATGACTACAAAGTTTGACATCTGTCAGGAACAGTAGGTCACATGAAATAAACATTTAGCAAATAAACACTTCAAAAAAGATGGTGAAGCATTATTGGAATGACAGAACTGTGCCAGTTTTTCACTCAACAGAAAAAGTATGTCTTTCTTTTTATTCATCAAGATCAATGACAAAGTAATGGAGGTAAATATTTTATTTCATATGTATGCATACACAAACACACAACTTCAATAGCTAATAAATATATCAATAAGTAGCAGGTTTTTTTTTTTTAAGTAGTAGCAGGTTTTAAAAGCATAAGAACAAGTTTACTATTAGGAACAGACTATAAAACCAGGATTATATAATCCCTTAAACATTGTCCCTTGCTTGCAAACTTTTGTCAGGATTGTAGGTCTCCCAGAACATCTTAATTAACCTGGCCAAAAAAGAAAAGAAAAAGTTTTTAATGAAAAAATATGGTAGGTAGTTTGAAAGTTTTACCACAAGAAACAAAATTAGATATCAAGATTAAGGAAGATAATAGCAAAAAATAATAACAAAAACCATTGGAGTTTTTGTTTTGGTTTCCTGGTTTAAACAAGTGGATGGTATTGTGCACTGAGGTGAGGAAGCCCTGGAAGAGAGGCAGGGACGTCGGAGAGAGATGAAAACATGAATTCCTTCTGCAGTGTGATGACTTTGAGGTATTATGAAACATTAGAGGAGAGATGAAGGTGGGCGACTGGATATGCAGTCTGACATTAWTAAAAGAAACTGGGGTTCAAGAGAAATTTAAGAGTATCATGTAGATGGTCGTTAGTAACATGGAAATGGAGATTCCCCTAGGGATGAAATATAGATAAGGAAAAGAGCCTACAGGAATGCCCAAGGAAACTGGGCACTTAATGGAGCAGAGGCAAACCCAGAGGAGGAGGATGACATAATTTTAGACTTATTTAATGACTATTCAAATTACCATAATACTTTTCTCCTAGATTCCTCCAATGTTAACATATTATCATCACATTTGCTTTTTTCCTCTAAAAACACCTGTTGTTTCCTAAACCATTTGAAAGTAATTTTCAGACACAGTGTCTCTTTATCTCTCGATATTTAATGTGTATTTTCCTAAAACAAGGACACTGTCTTACATATTCTCATCCACACAATCTTGAAAATCAGGAAATTAACACTGACACAAAGCCATCCATCGATGCAATACAGACCATGTTCAGATTTTACTGATTCAATCATCTCAATGTCCAAAGTACGAGTAAATCCCTGAGCAGACAGTGCATCCAGTTTCCATGTCTCTTTAGTCACGAGTGCCTTTAGATGTGGTGCAAATACTGCTACTCAAATGTTCCCTCGCTTGTCTTATGAAAATTTCAGCCAAAATATTCTAATAATATTAGAATATTCCAAAATATTCTCCCAATGCCTTTGGGAGAATCTAAAGGGCTTTGAGTTACAGAATACATAGACCCAAGGCTGGTGGAAGAGTCCTAGGGAGAGATCTCGTCCCCAGTTTAGGAAATCCCTGCAGTAAAAGCAGTAACCAATGGAAGAGCTGTAGGTACCAGTATGACAGGAGAGCTGGATGCTATGCTAGTGGCAGGAGGCTGGGAATGTCTCAGAGGAAGACCACAGGACACTGGGAATAGAAGGCAATCTCAAGATTCACCCACATGGTAGATATCTATAGCCAGCCTAAAGGTCTCTTCA